GAACCTCTCGATGGCGCTTGTCCAGAAGGCTGTGGACGGGGTTTCGTGATCATGTACAAGTGTCCTGCTGAATTTGATGGTGGAAATGTCCAATCAGAATTTAACAAAGTGTAACTTATATCGTCTTCGGAGTCGAGGAAGAAAAGTGTTTTTTTTCCTCCCCCCTCTATATTTGCTGATGTCGCACACAGTTGGAGGCAATTTCGTTCCACCTCCACTGATTCGAGTTGTTTCCATGCGAGAGACTAATTGGTCCACAGCATTGCAGTGCAGCTTCCTTGGTCAAAAGTGCACGGGAACGGAGCTGAACGGTCGCAACATCCGGGTGCACTTCTCGAATTCCGCCTACGCTATCTTCAATGTGCTGCACTTGTGTCGCTACATGATTCCGCAGTGAACATGCAGTCAATGGTAGAAAACAACCAGAATTGAGAGGATGCAGACAAGTAGCGCGTTTGGTTACTGTAAGCGTGGCTGGTCATGCGACGCTCGGGCGGAGTATGGAGACGTTACCTAGAAATCACTACCCTCCAACCGCCTTTTGGCACGCTAATGCAGCCGCGGACCAGTCCACGCCATACATGGCACGGACCAAGATCCATGGAGGGGAGTCTACAGTTCCCCTTAAAAGCGTTCTACGAAGACTAATTAAGCAGCGGCGTGAGTACTGTAACATTTCCTTCCCAATGGAATTTTGTAAGACTCTATTCAAAAATGTTCGAACGTTCAAGTCTTACTGGCAATATTCCAAAATAGTTGACATTAGACGGATTGAAAAAAAACTGTATCAAACCGTCTACAGGAAAGTTCGTACCTGTGTAATTCGGCGTAGAGATTGGATGCCTTGCTCATCCCAATTTCACAGACCAAGAGATTTCAGTAAAGTCTTCAACATGGAACCTTCCTTCACCTGGCCTCTGTGAGATCTCCACCTGTAAGAGATGGAACAAACAATGTGAAACAATTCTTCCGGGAGCCATTTCATTTCATAGCGCTGTTGAACAGGTAGGAACAACAATAAAGGCGGAAATCTTATGGACCACTTTTCAGGAGGGATATAGTAAACGACTGGATAGCCTATGCCGAAACAGTGGACTATATCAGGTGTTCGCGGGGATGAGCGGCAACATGGAGAGTGAGCCCAGTGGATCTTTTTTCAATCCCTTTCACTAGATGAGTCTGGACTGTATTTCGGAAGTGGACCCATTCTTAAACTCCTTAAATTATCCCAAATACTGTATACAAAGGGGGAGGGGGAGGGTAAAGTATAAGTACAGCTGCGAAAAATTCTGAGCAAACGCCTTATGGTAGAAGTGCGTTGTCATCGTAAACTAGGGCGTATTCACGCGAATGGTGGAATATCCGATCACTGTACGAGGAGGAGGAGCATCATACATTGATCTTAGCAAATATTTTGCTTTAGACTGTGATCGCATTTTATTTCAGGCTGGGTTTATATCATATATCTTCTCTCAAAATGAAGTGTTGATACAGTTTCTAACTTACTAGTTCTGACCGGATGCTTCAAATGCTATTTTCCCTTCCGCATCATCGCTGCCCCAGCCGGTGTCCCCCTCCTCCAGCTCCCAGGCTCCGTGACCTCGAGAGAGCTCGTTATCGTGTAGCAGTCCGCAAAAGAAGACACGGAAGAGGGTGGGGTCATTCCGCTCAGCCGCTTGTGCAGAAATCGATCAATACATGAGGCGCGACAGGCGCAGTTAGTACCGACGGAGGGGGCTATTTTTGTTCTCGTGGCGCATAAGATGTGTGGACCCATATATGGGTAGCCGTGTGTTCTCGGAGTTGATCACGTTTAGGATAGTGGCATAGCACAAAGTTACTGGTGTCTTGGCTTCAACTTTCACAAGAGTTCACAAAGTTTTACCAGAGTGGAGCTTGGTCAAACGGACCGGGCCCTTATGCTACTGACAAATCCCCTCTGTGGACAAAGCAGCGCGCGCGACATGAAGTCGCGAATCTTGTATTCTCTAGCTATTTCAACACCCAAGTCTTGTGGATGCATACAATATTATGGAAATCGTTTTTACTGACTTGTAGTCAGATAATTGATATTATGATCTCATGACCATGCAAACTTATCACAGCCTTCAACTGTAACTTCGTGACAGCTGCCTGATCAGACCAGTGTCTGAGGTAGCTTGGGAAGACTTTGTGAAAATTGAAGAACCTGTGCTTTAGTGCCTAATGTCGGTCGTTCCCGTGTTATGCTGAAAGCAGCGTCTGGGATGGTCTGCGAGTTGACGAGAACAGTCAGACTTCCTCGCAATGACTACAAAGAACAGGGAGTAGTAGTCCAAAGATGCCATCGATGAATCCTATAAAGAGTGACCCCTGTAGGAGCTAGCCGTACGCAATGGTTCGTAACATGAGCAGCTTCATCGAACCAATAATCAAAACTAGAGCTCTTCCGAACAGTCAAAGAGTTGAACCATTAGTCAGTTGCGACCCCCAAGTTCCTCATTACCCTAGTCCCTGCAATGACCAAAGATGACGTCATTTTTCGGTAGTGGAAAGTTCAAACTTGTTCAAGTGTGTTATAATATTTATCAGAACAAAATGATTTTTCAAATATGTTCTGGGGAAATGATGTTTCCTTGATTAGAGTCCACAAGGGGCAACATGGGGAACTTCATCACATTTGGAATCCACCCATAAAACCTCTAGAATGGTCCTTATTCTAGAACCTGTTTTACTCCATCATTTGGAGCAGAATAATTGGCCGCTGCGCAGTTTCCTGAAGGAAATACCCACTTCATCAGTACAGAGTGCAGAACCTGACCTTAGCTTTCATATAACTTTCTGCTTCCTCTTCACTTCAAAACGGTTCAAAGAACATGTAAGAGTTATCAACCAGTACCTCCATTACAATAAAATGTGAGAGCTAATCGTAAGCGTTGATGAAAGATGACAGTGTAGTGAGGTTTCCTTTGAATGTTAACACTGGCTACATACTAATGGAGGGAGAGTGTCTATGGAAATAATAGTGGCGCAGCGGCGGCGGATAGTTGCCAGTTCGGGCAGGGATACAGACAACAAGAGAGCGCGGACGGCAAAGTAAGCACTCATTTCTCTGCAGAATGCGCTCAACAGAGACCTCTCTAAGGCAGCGTTCAGACTTCGCGACGGCAGCGCTTCGGTCGCACGACGACGCAAAAGCATGCGCATTGGTCGCACCGATGCTGGCGTCGCGAAGTCTGAACGCTGCCTAAAGACGCACAGTAGTCGCTAGACTCGTAACTAAGCTCACGGGCACTCCCTTTCCAACGACGAAAAATGAACTGCGCCCCATGTGCTTCTCATTTTCGTCTCCTCTTACAACATGATGAACATGAATCCCCTCGAAATTACCACAAACGGTGAGAAAGCCACCACAGGTATTTCTTCTGAGATGCGCCAGTTGATGCTCATGCCGAATTGTGAGAGCATCTGAATGCGTGTAAGTTTTTACAATGATTTGTTCGCCAACTCATAGTTCAAACCACCGTCTAAATGCTCCCAGTTAGCGGCGGTTACACAAAACGGCACATTTTGCGCAAAACTCATGGATGGACCACCACGAAATTTTCGTGCTCCTCGTTGGTGCACCCTGTCGTTCTGTCATCTTGGAGAGAGGGTCATTATTGAGGAGCACTGATCCGACTGTGAAGTGTGCCTTGAAAAGAGTAAGAACGGCTATATTGGGTTCGACGGAAACCAATCCTTTCTACGTGCGAGTCCATACATACACCGTTATTTCCGCTTCCACCATATTCGCCTTGAACGGCTTTGAACAGATCTATTCCGAAGAAGCTCAATACCTATTTCGTAACATTTTACAGGATCCACCTGCTCAGCTGTTCTCTGAAAAAAGCAGAGAATAATGAAAAAACATGCAAATAAAACCCTTCATATAACCATCAAAAGTAATACTACGATTAAAAACATTTCGATCTCAGAGGTGGGAAGCGCTCTTCAAATCAGAAGGAATGCAGGTCTGAGATGTGAAAAGATGTTGCAACTCCTGAATCCCATTCCAGCTGCCGCTGCTATTACGGTAATGGCATTCGGATGACACCAACACCTGCTCCAGTCTCGTCTAAAAGCATATCAGTAAGGGGAACATTATCAACCTATGCTGGAAAGTCAAAATTGAAGGTGAAGAGAATGTGAAAATAAAAAGATCCCTTGTGATAACAACTCACTTTTCATTCAGGTAACTGTGAATAGCCCACTTATTTGTCTTAGGATCGAAAACTTCAACGGAATCCTGGTCAGAAGTGCCATGTCCACCCACAGCATAAAGTTTTTCATTGGCAACGACAAGTTTCACCTACAAATAAATCTTGTTGATTTTGCTTACATCTGTAGAAACAAAGTGATTCATAGGAAATACTGTGCGCAGACTCACATTCCATCGCTTCTCCTTCATTGCAGCCACTTCGGTCCATTCATCAGTAAGAGGGTTGTATTTCTCAACTGAGCTAAGGTCATTGGATGACTCATCTCTTCCACCTGCTGCATACAAGTGCCCATCGAGCACTGCAGATCCTAGATATTTCGACATGTTGACATCGGACGAACAAACTCCCATCTTCCCGTACGAGGATCAAATCTGAAAGTTGGATGATACAGGTAAAGTCAGGTTCACCACACATAACGATATGCCAGTCTTTTTTTGCATCTAACTAGGGAAGGTCGTCAGGTCGAAGTGGCCATTTGTAATGAGATGTAGCTCACTAGACGTGGTTTTGGACGCTGATCTCGAATCTGCCTTTGAAATTTGCAGAACGATTCTCTGAACGGAGTTATGGAGCCGCGTTTACCACGCAACAGGTCGTGGGATCGGATCCCTGCTGAGCTTAACTTTTTTGCTTCTTGTGCAAACGTGGCAAAAAGTGGTTGTGGCGTCACTGCTACATTAGCGCTCTCCTTGACTTGCCTGAAAAACAGTTTGTGTTCGCTTACTGGCGCGCTTAGTGCCTTATGATCTAGGAGAATTTTTGGATGTACAGGTGCCCTTGGCGCGGAGTGCAGGCGTTTTCGCGCTGAGCGAGTGCCATATTCGTGTTTATCGGGGCGAACTACGCCTAGGTAGAGGTTTCTAGCCAAATCTGGCATTTTGACCTGACTTCGAAAAGTGAAGCATCCATGGGTTAGTTCAGTTGATGTTCACACCTATTCAGCTGCAGATACATTCTCCTGCACAAAGCCTCGTCTTGCCACTTCTTACGCATTCATTTTGTTACTGCTCCAGTTTTCCTGGTATCTAAAAGCAAATTCCGTCCAAAGACAAGCAATCGACAAGAGACTGACCCTGGAACTATTGGCGACCATCCTTCGATCAATGCTACTGCA